AACGATAAAATGATATTTTGAAACGAAAGTATTCATTCTATATGTAAAATTTTATGAGAATTTCACATTGAATCTTACATGACAATATATTGGCTTAGAGAGATAGAAAGACAGATACAGACAGAGACACAGAGAGACAGAAAGACAGAAACAGAGAGAGAGAGAGAGAGAGAGAGAGAGAGAGAGAGAGAGAGAGAGAGAGAGAAATAGAGAAAGAGAGAGAGTGAGAAAAAGAGAGAGAGAGAGAAAGAGAGAGGAAGAAAGAAGGACGTTTAACATTCTCGTACTTGTTATAATTTGCAAATACTCAAAATGTTAAGGGTTAATCATCTAATCCTAACTCGGTACAAGTTTGTCTAAACTTTTCGATCGGTATACTAGCTGTTGGTAGGTTGCTAGGTAGGTCAGGGACATGACTAGTTCAATATTCGCTGGTTCATCCTTTCTCTTTTATATCACCTTTCTACTCTCTCTCTCTCTCTCTCTCTCTCTCTCTCTCTCTATATATATATATATATATATATATATATATATATATATATATGTCTCTCTGTTTATTTGGTCAAAGCTTCAAAATTCAAACAATTTCCATTGAAATGAATAGAATTAATCCATTTTTTATCGATTTAATCTCCAATACATATATCGAATGCATATCTTTATTCGTATTCTGTTGAATTTGTTGAAAATATTTTAATTGTATTAAATATATGATTAGTTTTTAAATAAATGAAAAAAAAAAAATTAAAAAATAGATTTTAGAATATATATTATATATTCTTTTTATTTTACCTATGATTAATTATAAGAATTTTCATATTGACGATATTATAGAGTAGGAAATATATATAATATACATATATATATATATATATATATATATATATATATATATATGTATATTTCCTTCTTTCAAATATTTATTACGATCAAATGAATTATATTAATTTTCAAATTATGTATAATTTGAAAAGAAGACCCTATCTCTTATTCCCAACGATTCTTGCTTTATCAATTGGAAATCTCATTCGAGATTGTCATGCAATTCATCGAGAAATTCGCATAAATCGCATTTAAATCAATTTTAACGTGTTATAAACTATAAATAGTCTTCGACTATTGCTAACGTGATATCAAATATCAAAACGCATTATCACATTTTTTACATGTTCGAAATATGTGCGACATTCGAAAAGAAATTTATTGATTAATTAAATAATTATTAAGCAATCGGAAAAAAAAAAACAAAAACGAAATCGTGCAAAGGAAAAATAATGTAAAATGTATTATTTTAGTTCGAAGATGAACAACAGCCTTCGGTCTTAATTAAGTATAACAGTAAAGTATACAAATTTTAACGAAATATACGATATACTAACAACGTAAAAAAAAGAAAAAAAAAAAGAACTCTTCGACCTGATAACGAACGAGTAAAAAATTGTATTAGAGTAGTTACGGTTTCACATATAACTCACAGTATTGAATAACTTATTAATGAGTTAAAAAGAGAAACATATGACTTTGTATGTACAATAAAAGTATTACTAATAAGAATCGAGTGAAATTAAAAAGAAAAACAAAAAAAAAAGAAAGAATATTTCATTACTAATAAATATTGAAAAAATAACAAATTTCATATTCCAATGAATCAAAATTTTTTTATTAATTTTAATTTTTATTCATTTCAATTAAGTATTCAATATTACGTTCTCACGTTTTATGCGTAAACATTAGATTTTCAATTTGATTCCAACGTAGAACAAAAATCATTTGGTGTTTTGGCATTTGTTCAGTTTTAGAGATTTTTGAAAAAAAATTTCGTTGATAAATGAAAAAAGATGAGGTAATGCCTGTTTCAATTCACGTCGAAAAATGTCCAAAGCTGTATGTTTTTTTTTTTTTTCTTTTTTTTTCCCTTCTTCATTTTTTTGTTTTATATAACACATATCAATTGCACCATCAATTACGCAACGCAGTTCGACACTCGGACATTTTTCAACATAAATGCGAACACGCTTTCGCATTGCGTGACACTTCAAGGTTTAATTATGTTGAATTAAAAAAAAAAAAAAAAAAAAAAAAAAACCGACAAGAACGTTTAAAACGATTGGATTATTATAATTAAAAAGAAAACAAAAAAAAAAGAAAGTAAAGGAGAGAAGAAGAAGAAAACAAAACAAAAGAGAAGAGAAAAAGAAATGCGTCGGTTTTTAATTTGTCGATGATATAAATCTTTCACGATTACCCAATCGCGATTTCATCGGACGAAATAGCTACTTGAATGGACCGACTCTAATCGTTACTCTCGTAACTCGAGTTGAAGCTCGCGTGTTCTCTTGCAAGCATATGTATGACTCGGCAAAGTGCATCCAGGGCACGTCGTAATGCCTAAGTTGAAGGCAAACAACGAAAAGCAGGATGGTAACGGCACAAATGGAACGATAATAACGGCAATACGATACGGCCATAAACCGTGAACATAAAAGAACGTGAAATATTT